AATAAATGCATAAGTAAGAAAATCACTTGTGGGGCGGTGGTGGTGCATGCCTTTAATCCCAGCACTCCGGAGGCAGAGGCAGAAGGATCTCTGTGAGTTTAAGGCCATCCTGGTCTACAGAATGAGTTCCAGGACAGCCAAGACTACTCACAGAACCCCTGTCTTGAAAAACAAAATAAAAAAACAAGAAAGGAAGGAAGGAAGGCAGGCAGGTGGGCCGGCAGATTTCTGTGAGCTCAAGGCCAGCCTGGTCTATAGAGGCAATTCCAAGACAGCTAGGGCTGTTACACAGAGAAATGCTGTCTTGCCACCCCCCACCCCGTGAAAAAAAAAAAAAGAAAAGAAAAAAAAGAGAGAAAGAGAAAGAAAGGAAGGAAGAAAAAAAGAAAGGAAGGAAGAAAGAAAGAAAGAAAGAAAGAAAGAAAGAAAACCACTTAGGGGCCCTTTTCCAGAGAACTCAGGTTTAATTCCCAGCGCACACATGGAGACTCACATTTGTTTGTAACTCCAGTTCTGGGGGATCTGGCACCCTCACACAGACATACATATATGCAGTCAGAATATCAAACAGTGCACTAAAAAAATTGTTTGTTGTACAAAGAGAATCATTTAGCCTCAAATTAGATTATAGTTTAAAGAAAAAGGACGGTTGGATTGGAGGTGGTCAGTTGGGAGAGTGCTTAGTGTGCAGGACTCCCTGAGTTTGATATCCAGTACTGCATAAACCTGCATAAAGCACGCCTTTAATCCCACTATTGGGGAGGTGTAGGCAGAAAGATTAAATGGTCAAGGTCATTTTAGGTTACACAGTGGGTTTGAGCCACTATACCTGTCTCTTCCTTTTTGAAATAGGGTCTCATGTGCCCTAAACTGGCCTCAAACTAGCTATGTGGCTGAAAATGACCTTGGACTCCCAAGTGTTTGGATTACTGGCCAAAGCCATTAACCAGGTTTTTCTTTGCTAGTTGGAAGAAAAGGAGTTACTGTTTTTGTTGTTTTGTTTTATTTATTTATTTATTTATTTATAATTATTATTATTGGTTTTTCAAGAGAGGGTTTCTTTGTGTATCTTTGGAGACTATCTTGGAACTGGCTGTGTAGACCAGATTGGCCTCAAACTCATAGAGATCTGCCTGCCTCTGCCTCCCAAGTGCTGGGATTAAAGACTTGCGCCACCCCTGCCTGGCTTATTTATTCTTACTCAGTTTTATTCAATTGCATTCTTTTCAAGTGTATAGTGTTTGCATTGAAAAGAGTTGTTTTAACGTGGTCTACATCTGTAAGATGGACACTCCAGCAGCAGAAAGACCACAATTTGGATGCTACACAAGGGAGACTGTCTCAGAAAATAACAACAACAAAAAGTCACTGAAATCTTTAGTGGTCAAGTTTCTTAAGGCCTTCATTCTACTTTGCATCCAATGTTGTGCTAATTAGTAATGTATTGTCTTGTTCTTTGGAAAAAATGGTTTCTACGTAAGTGTGCTGGCAAAGTGAAGTCAAGGAAATTGTCAAAGAGAAACATGAAGTTCTTTTGTTGCTTGTTTCTGTAACAAGTTTCTACATCCACTTAGGGTCCATCTATAGCCCGGTAGCACCCACCTGTGCTCAGTCTGTTGCAATACTAACAATAGGTTCACACGTTTAGGTAATGCTGGCCTTGAAAATGCCACTAAGAGCTTTAAACTTTAGTTGGTAGTTCACTGCCTACAAATTAAAGGACAGGCTACAAGGCCCACATTTTAAGAAGACATTAAAGGCAGGCTAAGGAGGTGTTTCAGTTAAAAAGAGACAGGTCATGAGACTGACTGTGTCCATTATAAGATGTCAGGCATTAAGCCCGACTTGGCTTTGTCTCAGCTCCCACAAAGACTGAATTTCCCCTGGTTAGAGTTTGAAAGCATTTTACCTCATGAAGCTTAAAATGACAATTAGCTAAGGATAAAGATCTATGGGTGGAGAAGTAAAAGGTTTGTTTCTTTGGTTGAGACAGGTCTCACTATGTAGCTCTTACTGGCCTGGTATTTGCTATGTAGCACACACAGTATGCCTTCAAACTCTACTCCTGCCTCTGTCTACAGGGTTAGAGACTGATTACAGACATGAGCAATCGCCCCAATTTACCAAGTGACAGTGATGACCTTGATCTCCTGGTGCTTAAGTTTTTCAAGTAAGATTACAGGCATGTGTAGCCAGAACCCAATCTTCCGATTTTTCTTTTTTTAAGTTTATTTGGATTGGTGTTCTAAAGTAGCCCAGTCTGATCTTGAACCCAGGCCTTGATTCTCTTGATCCTCCAGTCTCAACAGCATCCTGAGTGCTGGGATTACCGGCAAGAACCCACACGCCTGGCCAGAACGCTGTATTTTCCAGGGCTTTAGACTTGAGAGGCCACTGACAATACTTCTCAAGAGGGCAGTCAATGCCTGCACATTTTCCTTGAACAACCCCTATTCTCGTGCACGCTCCGCTAAGGCTGGGGGTAACTTTTGCTATTTGTTTACAAAAGAAAAAAAGCAAAGGGAGCAGGTTCCGCCCTTTTAATGAGTCTAGGGCGGGAGAGGGGGCCCTGGGAGGATTAGGTGAGGTTCCCTCCAGGCGCGCCCTCAGCCAGGCCCGGGGGCCCCACCAAGCCCCTGGGCCTAGGGGCGGGGCGCGCCTAG